CCAGTCCAGAATTCCAATTGGACCAGGGACTTTGCTACGACCTCTCGGTTTTGTTGTGCCCCCATCAACACATTGGCACAGGAAATCTCAGCCCAATAGCATCCGTAGATTATGAGGTTGATGGGGGTCATCTATGTTGAGGCTGAACCTGCCTGAAGTAACAATGCAGCGGAATCATTCAAGGTCCAGTTGGTCTGGCAGTTGGTCCACCTTCATCCAGGCCTACTCTGCACTCCGGTTTTCATCGGTCAAAACGTCTGAAATCTGACACCGATTAGAAGCGTCAATTTTAATGGTTATGCAACTTGATGAACCCCAAAAACACTGCATGTTTTGCCTGCACCAGTTGCAAGTGCAGGCACATGGGCCATGGCAAAAGCGCATCTTTCGAGGTGCTACAGCTTTGATGATTCTGGTTGTGCAGCAATGTTGAGTCAACTCGCCTTTGGGTTGAAATGCTCGTCTGCCATGTGTGTCCTTTCCTCTCAGAGTGTGACCTTGCACCTGCCAATTCCCTGCTCGCACCTTGCATGCTTAGCTTTCCTGATTGGACAAGACTCGAATGTAAAAACCGTTCATCTCTGGAGCTCATGCCTCTTTAAATCTTTCGTGGCCCTTGGCCACACCTCCTCAGGAAATGTCTGTTTCGCCAGCCTATCTGCCTGCCAACATGGGAGCTGCGGCTATCAAACAATGCAACCTCCCCCACATCTACCTTCCTGTGTGCATGAAAAGCTTGAGCCGCAAACACCACACCCACAGGCAAACCTACATCACCACTGGCTTTTGGAGGCTGGCTTGGTGTTCGAATCCTTATCCAGCTTTCGTAGTGGGGCCCGTTGCTTCAACGTCCATGTTGGTCTTCAGGCACAAGAAAAGATTGTTTGACTTCAATGAGGCAAACAATGCATGGAAACATGTGGAACATCTCCGTGCCATATCTGCAGTCTTGTCTTCGCATGTTGTTGTGGGGACTCAATGCAACAAAGTCCAGGCGTTCAACGTCTATGGTCACGTAGCCCTCACTGGAGCATCCATCGGGAAGTTTGAAAGCAGTCCAGGGCAGAGATAGATATTCCTTCTACAGCTACTTTTATCATTTATATATATATATATATATGATTACATATGTATATATTGTTAATGTTGCAAAAGCGCCATAGAGGTCCACCATGCCGATCCAGTCGCGACCCCATCCCACCTACAGCAGCAATGGACGACCTGAGCATAACGATCTTCAAAAAACATGGCCATGTGCGTTTCAGCTGCAACACCACAGCCATTTCACTTGAGGAAGCCCGTTGATCTCGAAGCAAGGCTTGCAGTATTGCATGAGGTCAATTCTCGGATCCCATGACCTTAATCGACAAGAGCTTTAATTTAAGACGAGACTCATCAAATCTCTCACCTCTCTGATCTTTTCGCTCGGTTCTCAGCTTCCAAGTAGGCGCTCTATTCACGGCTACGCACACCCAACTCAGTTGGTGACTGCGCCCTCAAAAATCTCAGAGGGGCAACCAACACAACGCCATGTTCGCAGTCGCGCCATGCTCCCAAAGTTGCGTGCACAAGGCACCTGCTGGCATTTGCCGCAACTCCTCGTGGTGAACCTGTCCTCATGCGTCCCACTGGCCCAATCGAAAGACTTCGGACCAAACGAGGCATGGAGGAGACTTGCTCAACAGGAATACAGGCGCTGCTCAACAGCTTGAGCGAGCTGGCTGGACCCTCACTGCACCCGCTGCGAAATGCCGCTGACTCGGTGTGGCAGCGGCTCCCCAAACACAGCACTGCAGCGAAAGCAACTTATGGACAGCGCAGCACTGCGCAAGTCACAGTGCCAAGGGCACCCCTCGCGTCGCCACAGCTTGTCAAAATTGGAACCGTGAATTCACTGGCATCTTTGGGTGGGGAATACCTGTGTTAGATGTTCAAAACCCCAAAAAAGAAAAGACCAAACTAGCTTCCATGTTTGGATGCGTCGCCTTTCACCAGCAAATATAGTGTTGAAATACTATAATAATACTATATAATTTGCTATCAGTGGCGGCCAGTGGCGACATAGGAGATGCCGACTACTACTACAATCGAAACAATTCAGCACCCACACACATCGACGACACCGCAGAAAGAGTCGCTTCTGGAAATGCCTCACCAAGCCATCATTTTGTTGTTTTTTTTGGGGGTCACAGCCCTCGAACAATCTTGAACAAGTCTTGGGAGCTTCATGAGTTGAGCTGCTCATAGTCTGGCCGACAAGAACCGACAGTTTGTATCCAAGGCCTGGCCAGTGGAGTAAACCGTTCTGGTTGACTTCTATGGAAGCTGGGAGGCTCTTCACTTGCATCCTCAATTTGTGGGATATAGAAACATACGTCTTATGAGCCAAGCATATCCAAGATGTCAACCCAATATTGGCACCTCATCATGCTACAGATTCAGCTGAAGATGGGACATGTCAACCTATGGCTGGCCTTCCCAGGCGGCAGCGGAGAAGCTCCGCAGCGCTGCGGTGGAGATGAAGCGTGTGTCAATGCGTCATAAAAATGCTGGCCCGTCAGTGCCATAGAACGGCTTCAAATAGCGTCCGGAAATCAGATTGTGCCCCCAGGCAACACTCAAGACTGTACCAGTGTTGCGAGTAATCTACCGTGGAAGAGTGGTCCAGAAATCGACCGGCGCGTTTCGCTGGGCATGGGTTGGCACCTCTCATGTTTCGGTTCATGCGGAGCAAAGATTCCACTGCACTTATCTTCAGCATCCACATGAGTGCTTCTGTCCTCCATGAAAATGATCATCTACAGGACTGATTCTACAACAAGTATTGTAGCTAAACCAGAAATACGTGGATGGGAGCGGTATGGGGGAGAGTGCTATGTCTTTAGATACTTTGTTAGTATGTGCTTCCTGCATCTACACTGTTCACGCTTCCAGCGCTTCATCCACTTTCGCATGTCCGTCCGTGATCTGCTCTTGCGGCTTCGATCATGCCATTCGACATAGACATTGACGTCGAGTCATTGACTTCAAGATTCAAGGCCAACGCTAGTAACAAGAAGCTAGTAGAAACAAGTGCCACGCTAGTAGTAACAGGTGCCTTACTAGTAGTAACATATTAGGTGGAGGCCATCGCTAGGTTGGAGGCGGACCATCGCTTTGCTATTGTTGGAAGCCATCGAGGTCAACCCACACTTCGGCGCCTGGGACTCATGAGGCCTGCCAGGCATCCGAAAACGGCAGCGGTGGCTGTCGGCTGCACGGCTCACGTGTGGCACGCTGGGGCAACAGGTGAGTCGCAGTGCCGCCTCACCTGGATGGAGTGTTTCCAGGCTGGATGGAAGAAATCTTCAGTCTTGATTCGTTCCAAGATGCCTGGAAAGGGTCACTGTATCCCGTTTGTTTGGCATATGGCATATGTTATTGAATTTGGAGATGGACATCAACCATTTGATCACCTGTCACGCACTTCTCTGGGTCTCGCTCGCTCTCTGGCCCCCCCGGCCCTTCTCTCTGCTCTCTGCTCTCTGCTCTCCTCTCTCTCTCTATCTTGCATTTTTGCTCGTTAATTATACTATAATGCACTAATACATTAAATATAATTTGCGTATAATTATGTACAATAATTCCATATTACAGTATATACGTAGAAAAGCAAATCCCCACAAGAAATGTATCGGAAACTGTTGGAGACAGTTTCTGCCCAGATTTAAGGACGCGTACCTACTGTGGAAGTGGACAGTCATTTAAACAAAACAAACCGTGATCTTCTGCGTTTCTGTTGAAACTGTCCAGGTCCGTTATTTACTACCGTGTCCTGATTACATCTGATTGCTACACTCTACTCTACTCACTACTCTATCTACTCTTTTTCTCGGTGCTTTTCCAAGATGCAGGCGATGCCCCCCAGGGTCCCCGGCATTTCCGGCACCCTGGTAGGGCAACTACTCTATCTCTCTCTCTCTCTCCCTCCCTCTCTCCCCATCTCTCTTTCTCTTTCTCTCTTTCTCTCTTTCTCTCTTTCTCTCTTTCTCTCTCTCTCTCTCCCCCCCTCTCTCTCTGGGTTTCGCTCTCTTGTTGCTTCATTGACGCACCCTATTGGCTTGGCACCTTCCCGCAGTCTTTTGCCCCCACAAGGCTGTTGATGCTTCCAAGCATCTGGAAGATCTCTGTAGCAGGGGGCCCGGCCGGACGTCGGACCCGGCGTCCATGCCCCTGAGAGCCGTTGATCGCCGCGAGCGGCCGCAGGCGGTGCGGAGCTGGAGACGGGACAAATTCCAAGACCTTGAAAGCATGTAAAGCTATTACGCTACTAGTAGCTAGGGCATTACTACTAGTAGCATAAAGCCAATCGATCATCAAAAGGCATATTCATTGCGTGCTCTTTTCCGTGCGATCCCAGGATCCCCCTGCAACAGCTCCTCAAACACAACAATTGCTTTCGGAAAGAAACATCTAGAGAAGAGTTCCACGTGGTTCCACCAACCCAGTCAGGTAGCCGCCCAACCTGGTTGGCCCACCGCACCTGCGAAGCTTCAGCTGCCTGCAAAGCGGTCCACGTTTTCGGGGCGAAAACGTTGGAGTGGCCTGCCACGCCTGTGAACAACACCAGGGGCCTGATCTTGATCTAACAAGTACATTGCGTCGCACCAGATAGTTGCACTTTGTAAAACAAATTCACCGTCAAATCAGCTGCTGTGGGGTGATGCCCCCGACTTTATCGAGTACCAAATCAAACCCGCAGGGAGCAAGAAGCTAATCTACCAACTCATCTGGTCACCGGCACTGTGGTCGGGCTCCGCTTTGGGATGCTTTCGTCTGACAAGATGGTCACATGTGCCGTGGACCACACCCTCTTGATCAACGACGCGGAAGGTGAATCAAGACAGGCAGCCAAATGTAACCATGTTTTGAATGTTCACCTTGCTTTGAGGGGCTTGAACTTTCTCTCTCCACCTTTTCTCCTCTCCGTTTTCAACACAAGACGAAAACGCACGGTCTGTGTTCCTCTCGTCTTGCCGGACATTGGTGAACCTGTGGCATGACCATGGGGAAGTCGAGGATTCTGCCCATGGGATCCAGGAGAACTGGGAGCCTCGGCTCAAAAGCAGCCGAAGGACGGCCACATACGGCCACAAAGGGGACATCTTCAAAGTGCCATCTGCAGCCATGCAAACTTACGCAAAGGGTCCCTATATGAGGCTAACCTTTGCTCAAGACAGGCCATCCCGGCCCCCAATCGCGGAACTCATCGAACAGCAGCTAAGGACATGGGCAATACAATGCACTACATGTCACCCATGGTCACCCATGGTCACCCATTCCATGGATTCCATGGTCACCCATTTCCTCACCCATTCGGATTGGAGATGCCGAGGTGCCATTCCCGCTCCATGGCGCGAGCCATGATGGGCGATCCCTGTAGGCGAACGATGTTGGGGTGTAGCCCCTGCACACGAGCAGGAGAGACCTCGCGGCACAGCAGGTCCAGTGGCACAGCTGGGCTGGGCGGCTGAGCTGGGCCGGTTCAGATGCTCGGATGGTGATGCTGCAAGGTATATCATTACAACAGTTTTGGAGGTTCTGGTCAAAAGAAATCGTGGGGTCCAGGGTTTGGGGTTGACACTGCTCTCAGCCAATTTCTTCTTAATTCCCGTGTCCAACCGGTGAATAGTGCAATTGGCATGCTACATTACCCCGCTGCAAAAGTAAACAGCCCAACTGGATGAGAATCCCAACACCGCCTGTCTGGAAGCTGCACTGAAAGTCAAAACCGAACGCAACCGACAATTACCAGTGTGACAGAAACCTTCCAACACTGCCCCTCAGAACCTTCGTCTCACTGGGTTCCATGACAGAATCATCTGCCATACCAATACCCTGGAGGGATTTCTTTTATGTCCTATACCGGCGTACCCACTCTGTGCCGCGGTGGAAGCCTGCACACTCTCCACAGGTGTTGCTCTTATCTTCTACCCTCTAATTGGCACCTCCAAGACCTTTTTGCTGTTGAACCCGGGCAACTTCTCGCCACCTCGGCCGGTTGGGTCATAGAGAGGGTCATAGTTTGGGTCGCAGGCGCAAATCCTACAGCTGATGGGCTGGCAGCATCCAAAGAATCCTTGACCCAGTCTATGGATTGTGGAAGGGACGTTTCGATTCACAAAGTTGGTGAAACATCATGATCTGCTTTGACCACTGGAAGGCCCCAGTCATCCAAAACTCATCCAAAACATCAAATAAACAATGTTTCGATGATCATTGATCACTCATGACAACTCACGTACGCCAAGTAGGAATGGTCCAACAATTCGGATTGCCTTGGAGAAAGCGTGTGATGGATGGCATCTTAAAACACCTGAAAGGGGGATTTGATAGGGTTGGACAAATCAGAAAAAACAACAACAACTGAAATTGAAAAAATGTGGAATCACAGCAAAACTGCCAAGAAACATAAAACACACTCCCCTGTAAGTCCGCAAGCATCATGCAAAGTCCTAAAACAGCTCTATCATGCCCCCATCTAAAACCAGAGTTGGTTCGTGGTGGTTTGCAGCACTTTGGTACACTTCGTTGATCTAGTTTGTCCGTGAGATGCCGGCCCTCTGCCCACACGTCCAGACCTTCTGATCCAGAGTGGCTCTGACGACCATGGAACTCATCTCTAAAGCGAACCAAGGCTTTAGAGGTCCGGAAGTTCAAAAAGCAATAGCCCACATTGCACTTGTTCCTGCACGCTGGTCGAGTGTAGCCAACAATGCTTTGGCTGGCTCAGGGTCCCAAATCACTGAGATCAGCGTGACCACCAAAATGTGATTGGGTCCAATTTAGTCATGCCTTGAGTATTCCCAAAACTTGAGTGACCTTTTGTTTGGACAATCAACCACAACTTGCGGGTTCTGGATTTCTCTCCGAGTTGGGGCCTTCATGAGCCTCTCTGATTTGAAGAAACGCACCACCGGCCGCGTGACACAGAACTCCCGAGTCTTTGTGTCACCCCACAGCGGGAAGGCACAGGAGGGCAATGCCCAACTGGCTTGTTGCAGTTCACTGTTCCTGTTAGATCACGCATGAGGCGCAAAGGCTGAACCCATCCTGAAGTCGATGGGCAGGTAGAGGAAGTCAATATCACCCTTGTAGCCACACGTGTTCAAACGACTCACAAGCTTGTCGCGCATGTACCTCGGAGCACAGGGCCAGCAGTTTAGCAGCTTGAAACAAACACATCGCATGCAACGCATCTTGCTCTGACAAATGATTGTTTCCGATTCTGCACCAAAAGATATAGTTTCTACGCCCAAATGGTTTCAATCCCCCCAAAAAAGACTTCAAGGTTGTTTGTCGCCGTTGGGAATGGGAGGGTGTGGATACCACTGTGGAAACCAATGAGCATCCTAGTGCTTACCATATCTATCATTATCTATCTATCTACCTACCTATCTATCTAATTGTCATCCATTTTCCATCTATCATCTCCTGTGCCCATGAACTGGCAAACAGTTTAATCCGTCAATAAGTTTAATCAATCCATCACCAACAAACAAAACAATCAATCAACACAAAATGTCCTGTCTAGATTCTAGATGACATAGAGAGGGATGGTGGTGTCCCCCCCCAAACCCGTGTTTTAATGAAACGTTGACATTTTCAGTGTCTCCTCCCTTCGTCTCTCCAGGCTGAATGACTTGTTTGGAAGATTTCTCAGCATTGCAGTGGTATAGCCCATGCCCATCCAGCTGTCGCAGTCCTAGGCGAAGCAAAAGGCAAAGCTGAACAGTCCGTAACACGTTCAATATGTCGCTTTCAAGGGAGGCATGTGCCGCTTCCATTCTTTTTTTGTGGGTCATGGTTTAAAGTAGAATCAATAGAAGACTTCTATGCTCCGAAGCCCCTTGTCCGCTTGTCGGTGGCCAGTCACTTGGTACCAAATCGACCACGGGATCAGTGGGTCGCCATGTCTCCCCACCAACGGTGTGAAGCTCACCTAGCTCAGCCATGCTCAGCCCATTGGAATACTCCGACACAACATGTGCAAGCCATCTCCATCTTCTTGGCTTTGTGGTTCTGAAGAGGCCACCCTCCCGTACCTTTCAATCAAAAAGCTTGTGTTGCATGCTGTCGGATGATCAGACTCAGGGGGGGTAATCCTCTCAAGCCTCTCACAGAAAAACATCCTGTCCTAGGGGGTCCACCGGACGGCCGAATCTTCTCGTGCGGTTGATCACCACTGCATGGAACATCATGACCCAGATGTGCACATGGAGGGCCAGTGCAAAACACCAGAAACGCTGAATCTCGCGCCCCGAAACTCCCTCGAGCTCTGGTTTCTGTCCAAGTGAGTGCTGCCAACCAACAAAAACCTGCCGCATGCAAAATGCAACTGCGACACTTCTGGGCTCGACTCCTGCAGCAAGCTCTCCACCATCTGTCGGAAATGCGACACGTCCTCCTCGGCATAAACGTCCTTCACCTCAAACAATTGCAAACATGCGGCACATCGTCTGTGCCAATAGATCCACATCCACCCATCTTCCACCATCCCCACAACTTCCGCCCTTCTCCTAACAAACCAACCTGAGCTGATCACTCCTTTGGCTCCCAGCCTGATGCATCTCCCAGCCGAAGGCCTTTGGATCTTCCACCGCATCCGGCAGCCCTGGGTGGGTTTCAAACGCTCCGAGGATGGAGCATGTGAACAAGTGGTCTGGTGTTATCTATTTACGTACTCTGTTTCTTGGCACTTAAAGGGCTCACATGGTGGCCTTGAGGGGGGGGAATGGATTCATCGAAACTCTGCACGGTGGACTGGTTCCCCTTGCAGGTTTGCACCGGGCTTGGTAAACATGGATTTGGGCATAGTTCTTACAGAAGTATGGCTCTCATACTTAGGACTTAGGTCTCCGGAGCTTCTTGTTCCCTCTCTCTGTCTCTACTCGTTTGCCCTCTTCACTAGCTCGCTGCTTGATGCTTGGGCCTGAGTCTGAACACATCTGTTTTGAGAGATCAGTCGATGTAAATGCACAGTAGGGCACCAAATGTTGATGCATCTTTAACCCTTCAAACACCAAAGCGCATGCAAGGAGAGTTTCACAAGGACTGAAGTATATAAAAGCTCAAGCCAGACTCCTTCACTAGTGGAAATGGCTGTCCCCCTGCTGCGCCTGGGCATGGGTCAAATCTAAAGCACCCGACACCAAATCCTTCAGTCTTTTCATGTCTTCCCCTCTAGAAACCATAGCCCCTCTGGCAACCTCTGGTCAAAAGGCGCATACTATTGGGTCCAAGTGGCGGAAGCTCGGTTGGTCTGGCTTTTGTTGCTCCTCCCACATGTCCCACTCACGCCTCAGGCGGGTCCAGAATGTTGTGGATGATGGATGCATGACGTTGAATGACTTTACCAAGAAGTGGGAGGTTATTTTCTTAGCCGAAGGGGCTCAAGCCTCCCAATCTGATTCTTAGTTCAACCTGCAACTGGTTTGTCTTGCTTTCCCCATTGCATACAGGCATTTCCCTGCAACACGCTGCACGTCACCAACTCAGAAATAAAACATGCATCTGTTGCAAAACCCGGTGTTCTTTGTTCTTCAGGTCATTCTTCACATCATTTCTTTTGGCGTCCATCTACCCGGAATCACACAGCCTTCGCCCTGGAGGGGCTCCTTCGTGCGGACCCCCTCCAGTGCTCGGCTCCTTCCGTCGAGGAGCTTCAGGAGATCCTCGTCCTCCACCTCTGCGGTCAGCTCCGGTGTTGGCCAACCTGCCGTGTTGGCTCGTGACAGGTCGGTGCGGTTCGGGCCGACCTGAAGGCCGAGGGCCCATTGTGCCCAGTCAGAGTCCTCCGTCCGAAACCTACTCAAACACCCCGTCCCCAAAACACAAAACACAACAACCAAACACAAAGAAGCTTCATCAAAGTCCTCCAAAAAGGTTCTTTCAACATTCTTCCTTCACCATCTCCAAAGCCCCTGTAGGCTATGTGACGCAAACGCAGCCGACCCTTTCCGGGGGTCGATCCTGTGGAGCAGTGATAGATATCACCCATCCTCAGATCCAGCACGGTGCCTCAAAAATCGATGAACAAAACAACACACGCAAAGGGAATGAGACCCAATGACTCCGTGTAGGTCATCCTAGAACATCAAGAGTGCTGGCACCCCGAAGTCTGTAGCAGCTTGAAATAGAGATCTATAAACATAGTGTTCAAAATCTTTTGGGACATCCAATTTCGTGGTGCACGCACACGGTAGTGCTCCCAGCTGGCTGAACGAGCCATGGGGCAGCATGCGTTTGCATACATGTAGAATTCCCACAATACCAAAGGAGGTTGAGAGACTGAGATACCCGGGACCCCTGCGGCAGGAGTTATGGGATAGGCTAGCCGCAGCCTGCAGGTAAAAAGGTTCTGCTCGATGCATCTCGATGCATGGTTTTCGGAATCACTTTGGCTGGACAACAAAGTTAAAAAGTACTGGAATCGATTTTGAACTGGAATTCACGCTGCTTCTCTACATCTTACCATGTTGCGTGCAGGCATCCATCCATCAACCACCGCATTCATTGGAAGCACTCGCGCCATGAATCGGCGGGGGGGCTGTGGAATCCCTGCCACTGTTGGGCGGGAGGAAGCAAAAAATGCTGCACCGTCCGCCTTTGCGAAGAATCGTCCGCCCAAGAAGCCCTCAAAAGAGCCGTAGATCAATGACTCGATGAGTGTTGTCGAGGTTCATACCGTATGAGAGTGAAGGACCTACATACAAGTACGTGACGTTTCTTTTCTTAGAGCCTTCTGTGGTTGTATGTGCTTGCGTGCCATGGGTGGCAAGCACTTAAACATTGTACTCGAGTTACAGGTGCACCTATGCAACCAACAGCTGCCCACACGTTGAATCTCATCTCACACAGGGGCAAGACGAACTCCCCTCTAGTTTCTACACCCCCTCAAACAAATGAACCAGAATTCTGGTTGATTCTGCTGAAAACAAAGGTATCTGACGCTTTATGGGTTTTGGGGGGCCCTGAGCCAGCGGGTGGCCATGGGTGACACCCGCTCTGATCTGCTCTGCTTTCTTCTGATTCCACGCGTTCGGAGCTCTCCAGGCGCCGTTTCAGCACCGGCAAGGAGGTGGTGGCCTCTTCCACGAAGGCCCGCTTTCGGGCCACCTGCCAAGTCGGACGCTTTCGTGCCGGAAATCGACAGCGTGTGCAAACATGTACACTCCCGAAAACTAACATAGACCCTGACAATGGTCCCATGATGTCCCACGGAAGACTATTTTCCTCTACCAACCAGGGGTGTTCAGGTTCCATGTTAGTCTTCCAGGGTGTAGATCCTTGATGGATCAACTTGGCTGCATCAAACAGGAACCTAAAATCTTAGGAACCAATCGGTGGTTGGTTCACACAAGGGCACTGCTGAAAAAGGATCGGCTTCAAGCCTCCCTGCACTTGCTCTTATGGCTTTGTGGGTTTTTATGCTAAGTACCATGCAGTTGTGTTGCTGATTGTCCTAGCTTAGCCGATAAGATCAATAGCTTAATCCTCACACATCGCATAACCTCACGAAGTCCATGATCCTTTTGATTGATTAAGCTCCCAAATATCTTTGAGTGGTGCATGTCCTCCCTCAGCTCCCCACTCCGCAACTGTCGACGTCATTGGTGCCCAATGCGTCCAGGTCACTTGCTCTCGAAGCTCTTGCAGCACCAAGGCCTTTGCCTCACGATCGCGCAGAATGGTGAGGATCCCCGCGATGTTCTTGCAAACGTTGCCTCCGTCCGGCGCGCCGATCCGAATCCATGGGAATCCGGAGAAATGGTTCATTCCATGTTACAAACGTTTAAAGGGCTACTAAAAGCACTTGAGTGTGCAAAGGCTGCCGCTGCAGCCGCCGAGAAAGTCTGCAGCTTTGCCAATGGGATCTATGAAGGAAAGATGCGAAAAATACACCTCTGGTCCAGCGGTCCTGGATGCGTACCTGCATCACTACCGGCACCTTATCACAACACCAAGCATTGTTCCCTCAATGGTGCCATCCACTGACGGCTGCTTCCCCGCCCATATCAACGCACCAATTGTCAAAAGCATTGCGCCCAAGAACAAAAACATCAAAACTGCTCCAAACGCGGTGCGGCTTCTTGCACACATCTCATCTGCCGCATATCGTATCCGTCATGCAGGCCAAGATGATTGACACCCACACGTCCATTCCCATTACGATCCCAAGCGCCGTACCGCCGGAGGCGCTGCTGCGCGAGCTCGGCGCCGCCCACCGACGTGGACGAGGACGAACCGCTGTGGGCGAAGGCTTCCAGGAGTTCCAGGCTGGAGCTCTGCAGCATGCCCTGCATTTCGCCACCCCCAAGAACCGTTGATTCATGTTGATCGCTAGTAGGTTGGAGACCATCGCTACTAGCGTGGAGGCCATTGCTATTAGGTTGGAGGCCATCGCTAGTAGGTTGGAGGCCATCGCAATCAAAGGATTCATGAAGGGGTGGCATTTTGCACCAGAAGAGAACATCTAGGAACTCTAGTGCATCACTTGCAAAGCAAATTGGGACGAATTCCTAAAATGGTTGCTCTCAGGGAAGGGGCAGAAAACCCAGTGTAAATCCTGCAAGCCTGCCCTAGATAGATGTCAATATAAATAGAGTTGTGTGTCTTGGGATTCTATCCCCAAACAGCTCATCAAACCTCAACAGAAAAGTGAGCCAAAAACAAAACAATCAAATTCTGATCATGTGTTTGGGTAGCGGGTGGAAACATGATCAGTGACATCTTTTGAGCCATGCTGATCAGATTGTGGCAAGTGACGTTTGTCACAGCATGTTAAAGCCAGAACACTTGAAAATTGGTTGCCTTGAAAGGCAGTGTTCTGAAAAAGCACCAACTTTGCGCATGTGCCATGTGCACAATAAAAACCACCCATGTTGGCCGGACTCTCCACAACACGTTTCCAGGTTCAATGTCCTTGCAATCCGCAAGCGCATGGGCCCTGATCTCCAGGTTGGGCCCATCTTGGCATTTAGATGCATCTGCTGTGGCAGTGTTGTTGGCACAGGTGTGTACAGCTTGATAGATTATGAACTACAACGAAGAAAACTAGCTTAATCATTTTGAACCACCTCCTACAGACTGTCTTGGTGTCCAAAGTGGCTTGGCTTCCATCCACATATATAGTTTCACTATGGAAGACCTTTGGAACACAAACGGCTTGGGCAGGGTGCCATAGTGACCTTTGGCTCCACATAAGGTGAGTTTCAGAGCTCTGGGCTCAGTCTCTCAACGAACAACTCGCGGACATTTCCCCAGAACTCGCGGATATCCCAGTCGACTCGCTGCACCTGGAGCCTCAGCAGCTCAGCTTTGAGGTCTGCAGCGTCCGGGTTGCAAAGCCATTCCTCCGCATCTAAGACGCTCTGCCGAGGGGCCAGCGTCAAGGCCTCGCCAAAGACCTTGGAGCGACGCGTGCATCTTCGTGCCCAGCAGGGGTAAGTCATACAGCAAAGCAAACACCAAACACTCCATGGGACTGGCATATTTACATTTTACATACATTGACCCCACCACCCCCAATTTTATGTAGTATATAAACCACCCAAAAATATATGTGTATATATAAGTATATATACAGTAATATAGATATATATATATATGTAATCATACATGAAGTGCCTGTGTCCTGGGTGCCTTGGATTTGATGCCGGGGATTCCATCGACTCCACTCACATACTCAGACCCTTCTGCTCATGGCTGCGGTTGCAATGGCTATAGCCCCAAAACGAGCCGGTATGGTGTCGGAGGATAGGTTTGGTAGTTCTCCTGGTTGGCCAAATCCTCTGTGAGCTGAGAATGTCCCTTTGAAAACACCTGGAGTCTTTCCCGAGGAGCGAGCTCCTATGCGCTCCTACTATTGAATCATTGGGTGCAGCATAGTGCAGCTGGCTTGATAGATAATGGCACAACATCCCCTAATTACAAGTACAGTAAGTCTTGCAGCCAAACCTTCCACCAATCCATCCCTTCAGGCTGCCAGGCCACATAGACCTCTCCCGTCTTCGGCGGCAATGGAGGCGCCACCCGCACTGACGACAGTGCTCGCCCATCGGGCGCAGGCGTGGCACGAAAGAGGTGCCAGTGGGGCGGCGGTGGGGGAAAGCCCCGAAAGTCGCCAGGCCTTGTCGCTGTCGGAGCGGGCGGAGGAAGGAGAGCGGTCGATTGGGCCGGGAGCGGTCTTTGGGATGCGCCTGAACATGAGTGTGCGTGACATTTCTGTGAAAACCCGGCTGCAGTGTCTCAGAATCTGCAGAAACCCAAAGGTATACAGGGCAAATGGTGGACTATACGTTAAAGGTGCTGACTAGTGGTGGCTTTGCAGGAAAACTGAAACCAGGGAACTGGTTTCTTCCCGTTCAAGTCCAGAATCTCTTAACAAATCTGCATCCGGCACGCAACCTGGGAGGCAGTCCCAAAACGCGCACTTTTTGACTCCAGTGCTGCCACAGTTGGGATCTCATTCTTTTTCGTCATGTTGGTCAAATGGCTAGGTCATGCGTGGGGTCTCCAGTTTCCGTCTCCATTCCCACACCGCTCCGAGCGTCGAGATCTGTCAGTGCGGCCAGGTCTCAATTGGCCGGCCATGCGCTGTGAGCCCGTACAAAAGAGCCATCAATGCTGCGAGGATTTCGGTGCGAAGCACCAGCCACCAAAGGCCGGTTTCCACCCCATCCGTGGCCCGTGGTGCCTTTTGGGACCACCAGGTTGGAACTCTTCGTTGTTGGATAGCTTTGGGTGAAGAAATGTGATCAAATCCCTAAGTTGTATGATGGCGTGGGGTCTTCTTCCATGCGACGAACAAACCTGAAAAAAGAACACAAAAGGTTACTTCAAAGATTCTAAAAGTCTTGCAAATGGTCGGAGTGAAATTCGCTGCCTAGGCTCCAGTGGGTGATTTTGATAACTATAACGTAGGAACCAAGTCCAAGTATATAGCTAAAACTATTTCAAAATACCTAAGACTTCGAACATCTGTCTTTTTATTGTCTTTTCACAAA